GCTTGAAGTTTGAACTTGAAAACTTATAATTTTCATATAAACAGAAATACGTGTATGCAAAGTTGCACGCGAGAACCAAGGTATTAATTGTCTGAATCAAGATCACGCTCAATTAATCAAATGCAGGATATTGCACTAATGCACTGTAATGTGCTCTGGAACTAGTAGAGGTGCGTGATTAATGTGCGGGCATGAAGAGTGAAAAATAAAGAAGAGCACGGGGTTTGGTAAAGAGTAACTGTATGCCTAGGACTGAGCAATAGCTCTAGCGACGGATGGTTAGGAATGAGAAAGATGCAGGCGCTCCAGGACTGCGCACGAGTAGCTCCTTATTATTATTAATTTAGCTGGCGGGCCAGATGATTATATGCTGATACAGCAGATGGGAGTCGAAATAGAGCTGATGGTTTTTGAGGAACGAGATAATTTTTTACTGCGCGCTAGCGGGCAGATGTCGACTATAGCTATATATGACGATTTAATTTAAAAAAAATTTATTTTTCTGCGATTTATAGCATTGAAAAATCTTTTCTCTGCCAAAAATTTCAAATCTGTATTATAGAACATTTTGAGTAATATAGCTTAAAACTATGTATTTTTCAATGTACAATGCTTGTGGAAATTTTTCCAATTTAACAGACTTAACATTTTGTAAGTTTTTACTGTTCGCATATCTCTCACAATGAAATACGCGCAAAAATGAAAAAAAAATTCGCCCGTAATTATTTTAATTTCCATATCGATTTGTTCACTCCGAAATGGCAAAATTCACTTTCACTCACAAACAGAAATCAGACTATTGATTCATAGTAATGAAATACCCAGTATAATTCCTAAATACAATCTCTTATTTTCTTGAATCAATTGACTCGCTACCATATTTATATTCGTTATTACTCTTAGAAATTCCTATACTTATTAATTCTTTATAAAGTGAATTTGCTACTACATATAAATTTCTTAGTTCTACGTGTATGATATCAACATTTTCAAATAAATAAAGTTCTAACTTTTGTGCCCTATTTACGCATCAAATAAACAGAATGCTGAATTTCAGACACATATTATTTTTTTGAAAGGGAAGTGATAGAAAATACTTGTGAACATTAGAAGAACTATTTTGTTCAATTTTGAAAAATAATCTGGAGAGTGAACTTAAGAGCTGTAATTTGATGGATTGTATGAGATTTTTAATTTGATACGTTGCACAACCAATAAGTGATATTACGATGATACGCACCACTGTAAGAAAAGGAAAATAAAAGATATGTTCAGAAGGTTGCAAACGTTTCATCCAGAAGTTGCCAACTGGACTTATCAGCAACATTTTGGCCACAACCTGCACCCTAGTGCTAGATGCTCCGGGTGGATATGTAGCGATGTAGAATTCTCTCTCTCTCTCTTTATATATATATATATGTATGTATGTATCTAGAGAGCCTTCTGCCAATACTGCTTGTAAGCGTGTGTGTGTGTGTATATATACTCTAAAACTGAGAAGTCGACTTTATTACGAGTGGTTTTTCACACTAAGCACAATAATGCAACAATACTGAAAGAAAATAATGATGTATTTTTTAATGAAAATGGTCATATAGGCTATGTGCTGTTGTATGGCGCACGCATACTGAGTACACATACAGAAGCGGCTGGCAATGCGATCGACAGCCGAGAAGCTTGCTTTTAATTTAGCGAGGCTATTATGGAAAGTGATATGCAGCATTTCGGAAATAAATAGCGGCGGGAGCGAGGTAGTCGAGCCCATTTCACGAGTCGTCTTTTTGTAATAAGCGAGCTCGAGTCTGAAGAAGGAGAGAGGAATTAGTCCCGTAGACGCTCGCTGCCCGATTTTGCGCTGGCAGGTAGTCGTTACGTAACTCTTTCTCTGCCTCCTTCTCGTGAGAGCTTGAATTTGGGCTTCCACTTAATGACTTGAACTCGATCCCGCGGGATAGCCCTGCGCCAAGCTTCCTGACTGCGCGTATACTTCCGGACAGGAATCCAGCGCGCACCATGTCGTTGAATATTGCTGCGCCGTTGTGAGCAACAGTCCGCTGTGTCAGCACAGGCGCAGCTGCATAATTAGCGATAGTCCTACGTCTGAGAACCCGCATCCCACTCGCTTTGATTGATAATATAAATTTGAACAAATTGCTACCTGCACATCCAGCTTTCCTTTGGCGCGCGACATATATACGTGTATGTATATTTGTGGTCTTGCATACAATCAAATGTACGATCGATTTATTTAATTTTGATTGGTTGATGGCATAGACGCCAATGTGTCGGACAGTTATACGGTTCAGGATTTACCGCTCAGGGCTGTGGCTTCAGCACTCTAAGCACGCACCATGTGCTCTCTCCTCTCTCTCTCTCTCTCTCTCTCTCTCTCTTTCTTAGTCCTTCTCCCTCTCTTTCCATTACACTTGAATCCATTAGTCAGCTCGCTCATCTTTGTTCCTGACCGTTTACATTGCAGACTGGCCAAGTGCGGGTGGCATAAGTTTCACGGCGCATCAGCTAATTGACTTTGAGCATGCGATATAACATTTCCGCTCGGCTGTTGGGCTAGCACGCCCAACTGAGGCACACAGGTGCTGCTTCCGGTAGCGCCAGCAAACCCTATACACTCGTTTAAGATGATTCTGCCAAACGGACAACTTCATTCCCCAGCACCGGTTCTACCACTTGATTCCAGTTCAGCACGCAACCGCTATATACATGCATCACTTTCTCCAAATAGTGTGCCGTCTTGTGCTAGCGTTCGCGTATTATATGCAACACCAATCGAAAGACCGCTCGTATTTATTAAATCTTGATTGATATATGGCTTTAAGGATTCAAAGTAAAAACCAGCTAATTAAGGATAGTTAATGGAGGCAGTGAGACGATCGCTCGACTGGTCACGATGCTGATTAGTGAGCTCGAAGAACGAGTGAGCGAGGCTTCGGGGGAGGGGGAGGGGGGAGGGAGGTGATATCGAGAAGTAGAAATAACAAGATGTTGGATATTAAGAAGTGAGCTCAAAAGAATGTGTGCAAGTAAATATTGAAAAAGTAGTGCGACAGGAATAACAACGCAGGATATATAACAAAAAGTAGCTTAATGGAGTATGGATTGTGCGCGCGCTGAGACTTCTTCATTAAGTAGCGTGCGTACAAAAGCGTGATTGAGTCTTACTACTACAATATACACAGCGTGGAGAAAAACTAAGTACTAAGGTGACTCCCACTCGCGTTCACTTGACGAAATAAAAAGCGAATGGACGAGAATAAGAGCGAGAAAGAGAGAGCAAGGGATTGAGACTGGAAAGCGCGGCGGCACCTGCTGAGCCAAACAATTACGCCACCGAGGATTGAACCATTGCACGCTCATCATTGGCAAAAAATTGCCATCACGCCGTTTTAATTCATGAGCTGCCGCTGCTGCACAGATCCTAGCCGCATTTCCCGGAACTACGCAGGGCCCGACGAGAACTGCACTCCCTGACCGTGTATGGTCTTCGGCCGTTACTCGCGCATCCCGGGAATCGAGGTGCGCTCTCTCTCTCTCTCTCTCTCTCTCTGCTTCTCTCGCTCTCAAGAGAAAAAGATTGAAAGAGACAGAGAAAGTGAGAGAGAGAAAGAGAGAGAGAGAGAGAGAGAGAGAGAGCGCACCTCGATTCTCGGGATGCGCGTGTAACGTCTGAAAACCATTCAGCCGTTTTTGCACGAGTCGCGAATTATTTCTATTCGATTACCAGCACTTTGGACCCCATGACAATTCCGGGAAGAAAAAAATAGGCTGCCCACAAGCAACAAGAAGAACGAGAACAAGAACGAGAAAGAAAGAGAGACAGAAAGAGAGAGAGAGAGAGAGAGAGAGGAGAGGACAAGAAGCAGCGATCTGTGGATATTAATGGTTTCAATGAAGACGCCCGCGAGCGTGCTCTTTGAAAAGTCGCAGGGCAAATACAGGATCATGCGTCGTGCGAATTAAACGCGAAACGACCATGACACTTTACTGTCCAGTCCCAAGAAGTTGCCACAATTGCCAATATGCATACGACTTATGTACGCGACTGCAGCCATGATTGATTCGCCTCGCGGATACAGTAAGCTCGGTTGGCCAGAGCTTGAGTCCAGATGAACGACTACTTTGGCTTAAATGGATTAGACATCGGAATGCGCGTCTTCGATGAATTGTCTGATCGTGCCTCGACCTCTGTTCGGCGAAAGTGCGGACACACGGTTCAGGCAGCTTCCGTTCTCGATCCACTTTGTTTTTCTGTAGTCGCGCACGCGGGAATGCGTCGCGTCGGCCGAACTAACTCGCCGGACTACTGGCATTTTCGGCCAACTCGAAAAGGAGAACGGAGCGAGCTAATGCCTTAACAATTGACAGAGAGTGCGAGAATGCAGACGGTCGGCGGAGACCACTTATATATCAACCACCTCGCGTGGCGTCGGCGGCGGCGGCAGCAACTCTCGAGGCTTTGGCCGAGGCAGGCGAGCCGCGATAACAGAGTCGTAAAGTGCCGATAAGAAAATTGATGTTGAAAAAAGGCGGCTGACGCTGCGCCCTGCTGCGCGATAAATGGAAGGAACAGGCCGGCAATACCTATCGAGTGACTCGCTGGCGACGGACACATTAAATGTAGCGGCGGTGGTCCGCGCGCGTTTCATTCGTCGAATCACTCTGTCGAGAGGTGCGCGCTGACATTGCCTCAATTGCTTCTATCGGTATCAGCTGTCCTTAGCTTAGTTTACTCGTACCATACGGAATCCTTAAACTCGAAATCGTCTGGCGTTGATTGACAGGACAGCTACAATCTACCGGCCCCTCTACTTGCGGGCATTCTAGCCGAGGACGACACTCCTTTGAATATCAACTGGTTGCGCGCAGGTTTGTTGTTGCCGAGGCCTGGTCGTTAGACAAAATCTCAAAAGAGCCAACGAGCCACGCAAAAATGCCACGGCTCTGTCGCGATAGCTTTCTGTGAATCGAGGACAAGGCAAGCGTATTTACGCGAAAGCAGAAATGCAGAGGCAAAGGCAAACGAGCGAAGAGGCCGATCGAGGAAAATTAGGAAAACGTATAGGCGTAGCCTTGTCGGCTCTGTGTACACAGGTGGGTGAGTGCTTCGTGCGATTGACAAGTTAATCCCCTGGCGTCGATTTCCAAGAAGCTTGACTGTCGTGCCATGCGTAGCAGCAGCAGCAGCAGTAGCAGCAGCAGCAACGACTGCGATTCCTGCTACGAAATTCCGGAGGGCGAAAAAGTGGCGGGCCGTTGGCAATTATCACGGAGCAAGGATTTTCGGTAGACTATCACGCGGGCAGCTTGCGGGCGGGAGGCCCAAGCGGCTACAGGCTGCTCCGCGGCTGTATGGGAATGTGAATATTTTTGCAAAGCAAGCACGGGGAATTCCAAGCAGGGCGTATTTTATCGGCAGCTTTTTGCCGTGGGTGCCGCGCTAATGACTCGGGCCGCAGAGGCAGCCGCCACGCCGAGGACAAAGTATGCGCGACATGCAGTCGTGTCGGGCGTAATTGCTCTGGCTGAGCACCAGTCCGTGCAATGTCATTATCAACGATAGCTTGCAGGCGTTGCACTATCGGCAGCCGCTCTGCCTGGCGCGCTCGCGCTATCGGCTCGTGACTTCGCCTTGCCTCAGTGCGCTATTAGCTTGCTTGTTCGCAGGCGTCTCCATGGGAGCCGGCCGAGGCCGAGGGCACCGCCACTCTCGTCTAACGCGCTGCACTTACGCGCGTCGTGGAAGAACTGGGTGCGAGTAGATGACACCTGCGCTGCCGCTGTACTGGGCGACTGGCGCTTGTCTAGCCTTTCCCCAGATGCCGCCTGCGCACTCGAGCGTCGTTATCCTACAGGCTACGCAGGACGGCAATGAACGAGATTCACCGAATGTCAAGGCTCTGCGGACTGAGCTAGCGCGGAGAGTGGCCAGTGCAGTGCTCAGTCACGCTGGGCTCCTTAGTTAATGGGCTTTAATTGTAGCCCAGGCAATTGCCTCGTGGCGAGGTAGGCCAGGCGGGCAGGCGCCTTTTCCATGCTTCCTTTCTTTCTTGCTCGGCCGCTTGTGACATCGAGTTAAGATAAGTGCACCCGCGGAAATTGAATAATAATTGTAGCCTGCCTGCCTGCCTGCCTGCCTGCCTGCCTGCCTGCCTGCCTGCCTGCCTGCCTGCCTGCCTGCCTGCCTGCCTGCCTGCCTGCACTCGCTCGGTAATCATACTGCATTCGCCCTCTGCCTCGTTCGTTCGATCAATCTCCGCTCATTGTCTGCGCAGCTGGCTGTAATACAGAGAGCGACAGAGAGACAGCAAGAGAGAGTCAGTTTTCAGGTGTCGACTTTTCGCACGTTTTTCGCCGCGAAACAAAGCAGCGCTACCTTTGCGGTGACAGTACTCGCACACTTACCTCGCGTCGGAGCGCCTCGCGCAATTACGTCCTCGCGCGGTGGCTACGCGACTAGGTTCCAGACATCGCGCTGGTGAGTTTCTTGCACCGTGCATTTGATTGTTCAGTAGTCTTGTGTTTACGCTATCAGCCGGCCTTTGCCATTCCAGCCGATAAGCAGTTGGCCTCCCCGCTCTTAGACAAGTGCTCGGAACACAGCGAGAATGAGTTGTGGTTGCGCGGAGACCGCTCGATGCGATCCAGCGCCAATTGCCAGCGAAATCACCTCTCTGTCCGTCTCTCTCTCTCTCTCTCTCTCTCTCTCTCTCTCTCTCTCTCTCTTTCTCGCGCGCGTAGCAGTCCAGACGCCCTATGTAAACGCTCTGAACCACGTCAATTTGGCCCTGGAGTAACGGGCTCTCTCTCTCTCTCTCTCTCGCGAGCGCACGCTGGGCATAATGGGCGATCGATGATAATCCGCTGCCGGCTCGGCGTGTATTTTCTCTGGCGAGGGTTTGCGGCTCGGAAGAGAGCGAGGAGTGAGAGGTAGAATAAATGTGATTCGAGAATATTGCAGTAAGATATACTCACGAGTCCTTGACACGTTGCACCTCGCGCGCGATTCGAGCTCGAGTTAGCGAGCAGGCAATTCCCGCGCTTATTAGCCTGTTATTATAAGCTGCTGCGGCGAGATCGTGCGGAGCTAGCTCGAATCTCGGAGTCCGTAAGCCTTGCGGCCGGCCAGCCTCTATACTGAATTTGCAAACGATCCCGGCAAACGCCGCCATATCTGCTGCAAATATTCGGCCGCGCTGATTGCCTGTGCGCTTTCAAATTGCCACTTGTATAACTAATGCCATTAAGCCGCGCCAGATCGTGCAATCATTACAATCAATTATTAATCTCTGCAAGGCCGGAAAAAACCTAATTATCCACCATTAATCAAGCAGCCAGCTCGCGGTCTGAAGCCCGCGGCCAGCGACTATTTTCGTCGCGTCATGCGCGTTCTGTGCAACTGCCTCTAGACGATCAATGTGACTTTTGCCTCGGAGCTGTTGCTCCGTAAACCGATCACGTATCTGCTAGCGCAAACCTTGACTGCACAAAAAGGATCCATCATTTTTCCATGGCGACGGACCATTACCTTTTTCCGAAAGCCATTTCGAAACCTTTATCTCTTACGCAATCATCCCCCTCTCGCCGCTCACTCCCTCTCTCTCTCTCTCTCTCTCTCTCTCTCTCTCTCTCTCTCTCCTACTCTCGCCAATAACTAGCTGAAAGTACTGTCACGTACTGATTGTTTTTGCTCGGCTGCCAATTTCATGTCGCTGTAACAGGCGTCATTAGTCAATCAACGCTCTCGCCATCGCTCGCGCCTGTTCATTTGTATCGAGAGCTACTTATATTGTATCCTATCGTGCTTAGCTTCTCTGCTTCGTCAGCCACTTTCACTAATGCCACTATCTGTCATTTCATGTTTATGTATACTTATGTTTGTTCAGCCCTCCGCCGAGTGACTGAGCGCGAATAAAACAGTAGATACAGCTGCGTAAAACATAATGAAAATCCGACTCATTCTTTTCGATTCTGCGAATGTCGCGCGCACGAACATTCATTAGATACAACTTCGCAAACATTACTTGAGCTACTATACGTCTTTTTAAATTACACACTTAATTAGAGAGAATCAAATCTTTGGCGTAATTCATTGCGATAAGTGGATTTGTTGGCCGTCATTTTAATCAACGAAACGCTCTCATCAAGCACAATTAACATCGACACGAGAAAGGCATAAAATGCTTACACGAACAGGGAAAATATCAATCATAATTTATGTATAGCTGCATAACAACTGATTTCTTACTAAGCATTCGTCAACTGTCAACAGATTGACCTCATTTTTTGCAGTGCAAATTAATTGTCACTGCGCTCACCGTTGCTATACGATCGTTGGATTTCATAATTCTCAATTACCTACATACACTTATTGTGTAAACAATATTTTTCGAACAATATGCGGACGATTTTCAAAAAGAGTGGAAGTTTTAAGCTCAGACATTATCGTGTGATTTCATCATAATAACTGCCTTTGAATCTTATGTGAAGAACTCTCCTTAAAATTGTTATTTTCGCGGCATATTTATTTTCAAAAACAAACGTCTTTCTGTGCGATGTCATATGTGTATTTTTGTATATGTGAGTGCGCGTGTACGCGTGTGTGTGGTAGAAATATTTTCGACAGCTACTTTTTAAAATTAAACACGATTTTTCACATATTTTCTATAATTCTGAAGTTCGATTACATTTGAAATTATTCCAGGATACCCATACAAACTTTTTGCAAAGCAAATATATTTTTAGCGTTACTTAAGCACGTCTTGAGGGAATGCAAACTTTCAGAAAATGTCGGAATTTATGTTGCAGTTCGTCAAATATTCATGTACATTATATATCAATTTACCTAGCTGGAGAAATTTATTGTTCTTTTCACTATTTATTAACAGATTTGATTATATTATTAACATATGTCTTACAATTTAACTTCATAGAAGCTTTGATTCTGTTCCAAAGATGCTATGTTATGTTGTAGGATCCATGATGATCCGTGTTGTTCGAAAGAAAACTACGGAAATTAAAGATTTAATGATGAACTGAAATCGAATGTTAGTTACTCGTCCAGTGCATCATTTTTCGTTTAATATATAGGTAACTTTATAATAATCGACTAATACATATTCCAATACTGCAGAAAATATTCTAGCTGATATAAAAATAGTCAGAAGTTAATCGAGGAATTTTGGATTAATGAATCAATTAATATTTTCAATAAAACCATAGAGTATAAGAAAAAGAAGTTTTACCTAAAAGAATTTTTGTCAAGACTAATGTTTACAGTTACCTAGTGTACCTCTGTAATATTTCATACAAATATAGTTCTTATAGTAACAATAACAATAATAATAATAATAATAATAATAATAAAATAAATAAATATTCCAGAAAAAGCTAATTGCCAATTACGTGGCCATTGCTTTTCAATTTCGAAATATAACTTTTCTCGTAAAACAAAGCATGAATGTTCTAGCGCAAGTACTTGAATGAATTCAAAATTATGGAAACAAGTATCTTGTCGACAGTCGCAAAAGTTATCAAAATACTTTAAAATACTGATAGTGTATACTAATTTGTCAATTAATTTTTTTATGGAATTGAAAATTGTAATTTTTATGATACATAAGTTTCACAAAAATATCAGCAATACGATTTCCATACATTTTGGTATCGCTTGTATATTATTTTTCAATGAAAATTAAACATAAAAAGGCTTGACTTTAGTACTTTAGTTTATCTTCATCGTGTACTATTTTTAGGCAAATTCCACTTTCTTTGAAAATCATACATGTGTTTCAAGTTTTCGCTACATGCGTCACTTTCCATTAAATGATATTTTATCGATTCTTAAAAGATTGATGACCTAGAGAGTAAACTAATGTTAATCGTTATTTAATTAATGTAAAGGTAGTCATATGAATTACTGTCATCAAGGACAACATATATATTTATGTATGTGTATTACACGTATAATATTGGTACAGCTGATATATCCAGCAAATCGACGCGTAATTAATGGCTCGAGTTGTTTTACATAGATTTATTATCAATTAATTATTCTATAATATAATTAAGCTTATGGATGAAATTTCTAAGGT